TGTGCGGGGCTGTGCGTTAGCGGGGAGCGGTGGCGCAGCGGTTAGCGCGCTGCGCTACGGAACCGGGCGACCTGAGTTCTATTCCCGCTCACGGACAACACCGGTGACGATTATCTAAACCGGTCCTGGGCCTCCCCTTCGTAGACTCAGCCTCAAACGAGTACCCGGTGCGGTGTGTAGTAAACATCGCCACTGGGGAGACAAAGGCGGCCGGGCGTGGTGCTGGCCACCCACGCCCTCGTCTGCCACAGCGCCGGCCTTCACAGGTGCTGCTCGCTAACAGCACTTGCCCCTACAGTCTGTTACAGGCTATATGGGGGATCTTTGTCTTTGGCTATGCATGAGGCTGTGGTGGTTCAAGTGCAAGGCGGTGTAGGCAGGTGCGTGCGGGTGTACGGCTCTCAGTGTGTGCGCAAGGCCACGTGTGACATTGAGTAACGGATTTAATTCATTTCATCTTCCATGAGGCGAGAACGCAAAAACAGAAATTACAACAACAACAACAACAACCACGCAATGCATTAGTGGTGTCGGGACGGAACACATCCAATCTCAACATCAAATGGGACCGAAGGTGATGGGAATTCATCAACTCCCTCCCCTCCATCGGACATCACCGGCCCCGCCGCTCACCTCCGCCGCACGGCACACGTTTAATAACGCAGGTGGCAGTAAGCAATCATTTGACCATCCCCCCCAACGTGCAAATAATCATGGACGAAGGGGTGGGGGGCAGCCCCCCGAAAGGACTTAAGGCAGCGGGGAGCCGTGAGCGCACGCATGCATGATGGAAATTCCACAAAAGCACGAGAAGGTGACTTAACCCATGCATGTGCGAGTTCATGACACCAGCCAGCCAGACACTGACCCTAACCATAACTACACCAGGCAGACACTGACCCTAACCCTCACCACACCAGGCAGACACTGACCCTCACCATAACCACACCAGCCAGACACTGACCCTAACCATAACCACACCAGCCAGACACTGACCCTAACCATAACCACACCAGGCAGACACTGACCCTCACCATAACCACACCAGCCAGACACTGACCCTAACCCTCACCACACCAGCCAGACACTGACCCTAACCATAACCACACCAGCCAGACACTGACCCTCACCACACCAGCCAGACACTGACCCTAACCCTCACCACACCAGCCAGACACTGACCCTAACCATAACCACACCAGCCAGACACTGACCCTAACCATAACTACACCAGCCAGACACTGACCCTCACCCTAACCACACTAACCAGACACTGACCCTCACCCTAACCACACCAGCCAGACACTGGCCCTAACCATAACCACACCAGCCAGACACTGACCCTAACCATAACCACACCAGCCAGACACTGACCCTAACCATAACCACACCAGGCAGACACTGACCCTAACCATAACCACACCAGGCAGACACTGACCCTAACCATAACCACACCAGCCAGACACTGACCCTAACTCTCACCACACCAGGCAGACACTGACCCTAACTCTCACCACACCAGCCAGACACTGACCCTCACCCTCACCACACCAGGCAGACACTGACCCTAACCATAACCACACCAGGCAGACACTGACCCTAACCATAACCACACCATCCAGACACTGACCCTAACCATAACCACACCAGGCAGACACTGACCCTAACCATAACCACACCAGGTAGACACTGACCCTAACCATAACCACACCAGCCAGACACTGACCCTAACTCTCACCACACCAGCCAGACACTGACCCTAACTCTCACCACACCAGCCAGACACTGACCCTAACCATAACCACACCAGCCAGACACTGACCCTCACCCTCACCACACCAGGCAGACACTGACCCTAACCATAACCACACCAGGCAGACACTGACCCTAACCATAACCACACCAGCCAGACACTGACCCTAACCATAACCACACCAGCCAGACACTGACCCTAACCATAACCACACTAACCAGACACTGGCCCTCCCCACACCAGGCAGACACTGACCCTCACCATAACCACACCAGGCAGACACTGACCCTAACCATAACCACACCAGGCAGACACTGACCCTAACCATAACCACACCAGCCAGACACTGAACCTCACCATAACCACACCAGGCAGACACTGACCCTAACCATAACCACACCAGCCAGACACTGACCCTAACCATAACCACACCAGCCAGACACTGACCCTCACCACACCAGCCAGACACTGACCCTAACCATAACCACACCATCCAGACACTGACCCTAACCATAACCACACCAGGCAGACACTGACCCTCACCACACCAGCCAGACACTGACCCTAACCATAACCACACCAGCCAGACACTGACACTCACCCTAACCACACCAGCCAGACACTGACCCTAACCATAACCACACCAGCCAGACACTGACCCTAACCATAACCACACCAGCCAGACACTGACCCTAACCATAACCACACCAGCCAGACACTGGCCCTCCCCACACCAGGCAGACACTGACCCTAACCATAACCACACCAGGCAGACACTGACCCTAACCATAACCACACCAGGCAGACACTGACCCCCACCACACCAGCCAGACACTGACCCTAACCATAACCACACCAGCCAGACACTGACCCTCACCCTAACCACACCAGCCAGACACTGACCCTAACCATAACCACACCATCCAGACACTGACCCTAACCATAACCACACCAGGCAGACACTGACCCTCACCCTAACCACACCAGCCAGACACTGACCCTAACCATAACCACACCAGCCAGACACTGACCCTAACCCTAACCACACCAGGCAGACACTGACCCTAACCATAACCACACCAGCCAGACACTGACCCTGACCCTAACCACACCAGCCAGACAGTCACTGGCAATCGCCGCAGTGGAAAGATGTGGTTCGCGTGCCGAGGGGACGTCACCACATCGTCGGTGCGGTTGGTGTGGTTAGTTATTCAGCTCGCGGTGTGGTTGGTGTTTTTAGCGGTGGTTAGCGAGGTGATTACCGGTGTGGTTAGTGGTGCATTTAGAGGCGTTTAGTGTGGTTATCAGCATGGATAGGGATGTGGTTAGTCTGGATAGTAGTCTGGTAAGCGGTGTGGTTAGGGTGGTTAGCGGGTGTGGTTAGCGGGTGTGGTTAGTGGGTGTGTTTAGGGGGTGTGGTTAGCGGGTGTGATTAGCGGGTGTGGTTAGTGGGTGTGGTTAGCGGGTGTGGTTAGCGGGTGTGGTTAGCGGGTGTGGTTAGCGGGTGTGGTTAGTGGGTGTGGTTAGTGGGTGTGGTTAGCGGGTGTGGTTAGCGGGTGTGGTTAGTGGGTGTGGTTAGTGGGTGTGGTTAGTGGGTGTGGTAAGCGGGTGTGGTTAGTGGGTCTGGTTAGCGGGTGTGGTTAGTGGGTGTGGTTAGTGGGTGTGGTAAGAGGGTGTGGTTAGTGGGTGTGGTTAGCGGGTGTAGTTAGCGGGTGTGGTTAGTGGGTGTGGTAAGCGGGTGTGGTTAGTGGGTCTGGTTAGTGGGTGTGGTTAGTGGGTGTGGTAAGCGGGTGTGGTTAGTGGGTCTGGTTAGCGGGTGTGGTTAGTGGGTGTGGTTAGTGGGTGTGGTTAGTGGGTCTGGTTAGTGGGTGTGGTTAGTGGGTCTGGTTAGTGGGTGTGGTTAGTGGGTGTGGTAAGCGGGTGTGGTTAGTGGGTCTGGTTAGCGGGTGTGGTTAGCGGGTCTGGTTAGCGGGTGTGGTTAGTGGGTGTGGTTAGCGGGTGTGGTTAGTGGGTGTGGTTAGTGGGTGTGGTTAGTGGGTGTGGTTAGTGGGTCTGGTTAGCGGGTGTGGTTAGTGGGTGTGGTTAGTGGGTGTGGTAAGCGGGTGTGGTTAGTGGGTGTGGTTAGTGGGTCTGGTTAGCGGGTGTGGTTAGCGGGTCTGGTTAGCGGGTGTGGTTAGTGGGTGTGGTTAGCGGGTGTGGTTAGTGGGTGTGGTTAGTGGGTCTGGTTAGCGGGTGTGGTTAGTGGGTGTGGTTAGTGGGTGTGGTAAGAGGGTGTGGTTAGTGGGTGTGGTTAGCGGGTGTGGTTAGCGGGTGTGGTTAGTGGGTGTGGTAAGCGGGTGTGGTTAGTGGGTGTGGTTAGTGGGTCTGGTTAGCGGGTGTGGTTAGTGGGTGTGGTAAGCGGGTGTGGTTAGTGGGTCTGGTTAGCGGGTGTGGTTAGTGGGTCTGGTTAGTGGGTGTGGTTAGTGGGTCTGGTTAGTGGGTGTGGTTAGTGGGTGTGGTAAGCGGGTGTGGTTAGTGGGTCTGGTTAGTGGGTGTGGTAAGTGGGTGTGGTAAGCGGGTGTGGTTAGTGGGTGTGGTTAGCGGGTGTGGTTAGTGGGTGTGGTTAGTGGGTCTGGTTAGCGGGTGTGGTTAGCGGGTCTGGTTAGCGGGTGTGGTTAGTGGGTGTGGTTAGCGGGTGTGGTTAGTGGGTGTGGTTAGTGGGTGTGGTTAGTGGGTGTGGTTAGTGGGTCTGGTTAGTGGGTGTGGTTAGTGGGTGTGGTAAGCGGGTGTGGTTAGTGGGTCTGGTTAGCGGGTGTGGTTAGCAGGTGTGGTTAGTGGGTGTGGTTAGTGGGTGTGGTTAGTGGGTGTGTTTTGCAGGCGTGGTTAGTGGGTGTGGTTAGTGGGTGTGGTTAGTGGGTCTGGTTAGCGGGTGTGGTTAGTGGGTCTGGTTAGTGGGTGTGGTTAGTGGGTGTGGTTAGTGGGTGTGGTTAGTGGGTGTGGTTAGTGGGTGTGGTTAGTGGGTCTGGTTAGCGGGTGTGGTTAGCAGGTGTGGTTAGTGGGTGTGGTTAGTGGGTGTGGTTAGTGGGTGTGTTTTGCAGGCGTGGTTAGTGGGTGTGGTTAGTGGGTGTGGTTAGTGGGTCTGGTTAGCGGGTGTGGTTAGTGGGTCTGGTTAGTGGGTGTGGTTAGTGGGTGTGGTTAGTGGGTGTGGTTAGTGGGTGTGGTTAGTGGGTGTGGTTAGTGGGTCTGGTTAGCGGGTGTGGTTAGGTACCTGCTCTGTTTGGGGAAACCCTTCATCACCCTGCAGACAGACAGACCGGAGTGCGTTAGGACAGGCAGTGTGTGCGTGTGTGATGTTCAGTGTGTGTGTGATGGTCAGTGTGTGTGCGTGTGATGGTCAGTGTCTGTGATGGTCAGGGTGTGTGATGGTCAGTGTGTGCGTGTGTGATGTTCAGTGTGTGTGTGATGGTCAGTGTGTGTGATGTTCAGTGTGTGTGTGTGTGATGGTCAGTGTGTGTGTGTGTGATGTTCAGTGTGTGTGTGATGGTCAGTGTGTGTGTGATGGTCAGTGTGTGTGTGTGTGTGATGGTCAGTGTGTGTGTGTGATGGTCAGTGTGTGTGATGGTCAGTGTGTGTGTGTGTGTGATGGTCAGTGTGTGTGTGTGATGGTCAGTGTGTGTGTGTGTGATGTTCAGTGTGTGTGTGATGGTCAGTGTGTGTGTGTGTGTGATGGTCAGTGTGTGTGATGTTCAGTGTGTGTGTGATGGTCAGTGTGTGTGTGATGGTCAGTGTGTGCGTGTGTGATGGTCAGTGTGTGTGATGGTCAGTGTGTGTGATGGTCAGTGTGTGTGTGTGTGATGGTCAGTGTGTGTGTGTGATGGTCAGTGTGTGTGTGTATGTCGGTCATTGTGTGTGTGTGTGTGTGATGGTCAGTGTGTGTGTGTGATGGTCAGTGTGTGTGATGGTCAGTGTGTGTGATGGTCAGTGTGTGTCGGTCAGTGTGTGTGTGTGATGGTCAGTGTGTGTGTGTGTGATGGTCAGTGTGTGTGTCGGTCAGTGTGTGTGTGTGATGGTCAGTGTGTGTGTGTGTGATGGTTAGTGTGTGTGTTGGTCAGTGTGTGTGTGTGATGGTCAGTGTGTGTGTGTGTGTGATGGTCAGTGTGTGTGTGTGATGTTCAGTGTGTGTGTGTGATGCTCAGTGTGTGTGTGTGATGGTCAGTGTGTGTGATGGTCAGTGTGTGTGTGATGGTCAGTGTGTGTGTGTGTGTGTGATGTTCAGTGTGTGTGTGTGATGGTCAGTGTGTGTGATGGTCAGTGTGTGTGTGATGGTCAGTGTGTGTGTGATGTTCAGTGTGTGTGTGTGATGGTCAGTGTGTGTGTGATGGTCAGTGTGTGTGATGGTCAGTGTGTGTGTGATGGTCAGTGTGTGTGTGTGATGGTCAGTGTGTGTGTGTGTGTGATGTTCAGTGTGCGTGTGTGTGATGGTCAGTGTGTGTGTGATGGTCAGTGTGTGTGTGTGTGTGATGGTCAGTGTGTGTGATGGTCAGTGTGTGTGATGGTCAGTGTGTGTGTGTGTGATGGTTAGTGTGTGTGTCGGTCAGTGTGTGTGTGTGATGGTCAGTGTGTGTGTGTGTGATGTTCAGTGTGTGTGTGTGTGTCGGTCAGTGTGTGTGTGTGATAGTGTGTGTGTGTGATGGTCAGTGTGTGTGTGTGTGTGATGGTTAGTGTGTGTGTGATGGTTAGTGTGTGTGTTGGTCAGTGTGTTTGTGTGTGATGGTCAGTGTGTGTGTGTGTGATGGTTAGTGTGTGTGTTGGTCAGTGTGTGTGTGTGATGGTCAGTGTGTGTGTGTGTGTGTGATGTTCAGTGTGTGTGTGTGATGGTCAGTGTGTGTGTGTGTGTGATGTTCAGTGTGTGTGTGTGATGGTCAGTGTGTGTGTGTGTGATGTTCAGTGTGTGTGTGTGATGGTCAGTGTGTGTGTGTGTGTGATGGTTAGTGTGTGTGTCGGTCAGTGTGTGTGAAGGTCAGTCTTAGCGTGACGTAGCTTGTGTGTCCTTCACACTGTTGCACGCACAGGTGTTGTGGGAGAGTCGCATGCTCTGAGCCATTACGTTAGTATTCAACGTTACGTTAGTATTCAACGTTACGTTAGTATTCAACGTTACGTTAGTATTCAACGTTACGTTAGTATTCAACGTTACGTTAGTATTCAACGTTACGTTAGTATTCAACGTTACGTTAGTATTCAACGCATGCAATGCGCGTGCAACGGCAGACACCGCATGCAGCTCACAGCCGCAGACGGGAGTCGGCTGACTCACAGCCTCAGTGCCACGGGATGGCTGATGAGGAATCGCCTTCCACAGCCGCTTCCGAGTCAAGTCAGGTCTCTGTGCGAGCCTGTGGGTCTCTGTGTGAGTTTGTGAACCTTTGTGAGACCTTCTGGGATTCTGTGTGAGTTTGTGAATCTCTGTGCGAGCCTGTGGGTCTCTGTGTGAGGCTGTGGGTCTCTGTGTGTCTCTGTGTGTCTCTGCGTGTCTCTGTGGGTCTCTGTGGGTCTCTGTGTGAGCCTGTGGGTCTCTGTGTATCTCTGTGTGAGCCTGTGGGTCTCTGTGTATCTCTGTGTGAGCCTGTGGGTCTGTGTGTCTCTGTGTGAGCCTGTGAATCTCTGTGTGAGCCTGTGGGTTTCTGTGTGTCTCTGTCTGAGTCTGTGGGTCACTGTGTGAGTTTGTGAATCTCTGTGTGAGTCTGTGGGTCTCTGTGTGAGTCTGTGGGTCTCTGTGTGAGCCTGTGGGTCTCTGTGTGAGTCTGTGGGTCTCTGTGTGAGTCTGTGGGTCTCTGTGGGCTTCTGTGTGAGTTTGTGAATCTCTGTGTGAGCCTGTGGGTCTCTGTGTGAGTCTGTGGGTCTCTGTGTGAGCCTGTGGGTCTCTGTGTGAGTCTGTGGGTCTCTGTGTGAGTCTGTGGGTCTCTGTGTGCGCCTGTGGGTCTCTGTGTGAGACTGTGGGTCTCTGTGTGAGACTGTGGGTCTCTGTGTGAGTCTGTGGGTCTCTGTGTGAGTCTGTGGGTCTCTGTGTGAGCCTGTGAGTCTCTGTGTGAGTCTGTGGGTCTCTGTGTGAGCCTGTGGGTCTCTGTGTGAGTCTGTGGGTCTCTGTGTGAGCCTGTGGGTCTCTGTGTGAGTCTGTGGGTCTCTGTGTGAGCCTGTGGGTCTCTGTGTGAGCCTGTGGGTCTCTGTGTGAGTCTGTGAGTCTCTGTGTGAGCCTGTGGGTCTCTGTGTGCGCCTGTGGGTCTCTGTGTGCGCCTGTGGGGGTCTCTGTTATTAGCCTGCGGGTCTCTATGGGATGGTGGCTGTTCTTCTAATTACACTACAAGTGTACGGTGCTGCTGCTAAAACTACGACTGCTGCTGAAACTGCTGAAACTGCTGGTGGCGGTGTAGTATATTTGGTGTCGGTGGTGGTGGCGGCGGCGTTGCCGTTGCTGCTGCGTGGCCTCACCAGCGCGAGCAGCACGCCGGGCCGCACCTCCCGCACCGGCTCGCGCATTCGGCACAGCGCCTGCAGCGAGGAGCCAAAGCAGCTGGGCAGGTAGGAGCCGCTCACGGTCACAAAGTAGTCCTTGCCGCCGGCCAGGTGCAGCACCAGGATGTCCTCGACGCGGTCGTCGCCCGAGTTGAGCCGAGGGGCGGTCGACTTGTTCACGTAGACCTCCAGCTCCACCTCCACGGTGGCCCCTGCGAGGGTGGAGCGGGGCGGTGCAGAGGAGACGTTGGGGACCGTCGTGGCCCCCCGAGCGATGCGCGAGGAGCCGCGTCGACGCGGACAAGCGGACGCGCGACGACCGGGGGCGACGGGCGACCGCGGGGAAACTCACCAGGGGTGCTCACCGGACACCACAAGATCTCACCGGGGATCTTAGCCGGCACCGCGAGAACTCACCGGAAACTCACTGGGGGACCACGACATCTCACGGGGAAATCAACTGGGCACCACTAGAGGTGAGTGGGAACTCACTGGGTACCACTAGACGTCACTAGGTACTCACTGGGTACCACTAGACGTCACTAGGTACTCACTGGGTACTCACTGGACACCACTAGACGTCACTAGGTACTCACTGGGTACCAGTAGACGTCACTAGGTACTCACTGGACACCACTAGACGTCACTAGGTACTCACTGGGTACTACTAGACGTGACTAGGTACTCACTGGGTACCACTAGACGTCACTAGGTACTCACTGGGTACCACTAGACGTCACTAGGTACTCACTGGGTACCACTAGACGTCACTAGGTAGTCACTGGGTACCACTAGACGTGACTAGGTACTCACTGGGTACCACTAGACGTCACTAGGTACTCACTGGGTACCACTAGACGTCACTAGGTAGTCACTGGACACCACTAGACGTCACTAGGTACTCACTGGGTACCCCTAGACGTCACTAGGTACTCACTGGACACCACTAGACGTCACTAGGTACTCACTGGGTACCACTAGACATCACTAGGTACTCACTGGGTACCACTAGACGTCACTAGGTACTCACTGGGTACCCCTAGACGTCACTAGGTACTCACTGGACACCACTAGACGTGACTAGGTACTCACTGGGTACCAATAGACGTCACTAGGTACTCACTGGACACCACTAGACGTCACTAGGTACTCACTGGGTACCACTAGACGTCACTAGGTACTCACCGGGCTTGATGATGGCCTTGTTGGGCGAGGCGCTGAGCCACTCCTTGCAGTAGGAGGTCTCGTCGAGTTTGCAGATGAACTCAAACTGGCACGGGCCCTGCCCGTCGTTGGTGATGAACAGAGACTGCACCTGCAGCTGCAGGAACTTCACCTCCGGGAACACAAACTGGGGCACACAGGCGGCATACACGCACACACACACATTACACACACACACACATTACACACACACACACACATTACCCACGGCAAACACACGTTACACCACGCCACACACACACACATTACCCACGGCAAACACACGTTACACCCCGGGACACACGCACACACAATATCACACATGGTACAACAACCCCCACACACATACACGGCACACACACATTGTATAAAACTACAGCTGCCGTTTACAAAAAGATCCCCTGTGTAGCCTTAACAGACTGTTGGGGCAAGTGCTGTTAGTGAGCACCTTTGAAGGCCGGCATGGCACACGGCGGCCAGTACCACGCCCAGCCGCCTTTGTCTCCCCAGTGGCGATGTTTACCACACACCGCACCAGGTACTCATTTGAGGCCAAGTCGACCTAGGGGAGTCCCAGGACCGGTTCAGATAGTCGTCACGCGTGTACACGCACACACGTGTACACACACACACACGTGTACACGCACACACACACACGTGTACACGCACACACACACACGTGTACACGCACACACACGTGTACACGCACACACACACACGTGTACACGCACACACACACACACGTACACACACACACAACAACAACAACAACCGCCATTCGCCACTAAGTGGCGGTGACGTCACCACGACGCTTGTGCCAGGCTATGTGCACCCTGCGGCCACGTGAAGTGTCGAACGCCCGCTGGCAGGAGGTCACGGGGCAGACCCAGGTGCCACGGGTCGACTGACTGAGATGACTGGCTGATGCACCACCTGTGCCCCCTACTGTGCCATCCTGCTGTGCTTTAGCCACCCGGCGCTCCGCTCGTTGTTCTGAGCGTCGCTCCTCCGCCCTCCGTTGTTGTTGGAGGGCGACTGCCTCCAACTGCCCAGTAGCGTCCTTCACGAGCCTCCTCCACAGAGGCCGATTTTGCCACCGCTGGTACCAGTCATCGGCAAGTCCACTCAGCTCCACATCCTCCATCTCTTCTCTAGCCCGTGCCGCGCCCGTTTAGCCCCCTCGATCCGGCTGAACAAAAGCTGTTTCGGCATGCGGTGGCTGGGCATGCGGGCTACATGATCCAGCCAACGAAGCCTTGCCTGCCGGAGGAGCTCACCGATGGGACCTTGCCCAGATCTTTCAAGGATTTGTGAGCTCCTCACACAATCCAGCCTGGTTAAACCCAGGATAGTTCGTAGGCAGGCCATCCTAAATGTTTCTAACCGGCGAAGATGTTCCATTAAAGGGGTCCACGTTTCGCAAGCGTAGAGAAGGGAGGGAATGACCGTGGCCGAGAAGACCTGAAGCTTAGTGCGGAGCGACAGACCAGGTAGCTTCCACACAGCGTTACGCAACCGATGAAAAGATATTGCCGCTCGACTAATTCAGAGTGAGACCTCTGCTGTTAAACTGGAGTCGGTCATAAGCACACTGCCCAGGTATGGGAAACTCTCCACAACTGCCCCATCACCGATTGGGAGTTGTGGGGGTGGAGTGTCCGATGGTACAAAATACCCAGGCAGGTGCTTAGTTTTGGTGGGGCTGATGGTAAGGCCCCATCTCTTAGTGGCACACTCCAGTCTCAGCAGCAGCGTCTCCAACTCCTCCTCTGAATGAGCAGCTATTACCAAATCATCGGCATACATAACGTGGTTGAGCAATAGGGAGCCATCCCTTGACCGCACCCGGGTATCGATCAGCCTCCCATTATATCTGTACCATATGGAGATTCCCCCGGTACAGCTATTGAAGGCTTCACGAACTACGTGGTCAAAATAGATGTTAAATAATGTGGGAGCCAGAGGACATCCCTGTCGCACCCCAAGGTGTACAGGGAATGGCTCTGACTCCCGGCCACGTAGTTTTACCCGGGCCCGCTCACCATCATGAAGGTCCTTAATGATCGTGAGCAGAGGGTCAGGGACTCCGAAAGCACGAAGAACAACCCAGAGCCCAGGCCTACTGATGGTATCATAGGCCTTGACCAGGTCAATAAAGCTGAGATGTACACACACACACACGTACAGACGCACACGCGTGTACACACACACACACGCGTACACGCGCTCACACGCGTGTACACACACACACACGCGTGTACACACACACACACGCGTGTACACACACACACACACGCGTGTACACACACACACACACGTACACGCGCTCACACGCGCCGTCACCTCGCGCTGGCTGAGCGTCACAGAGGGGAGGCACTCGTTCTCCATCTTGTCCATGGTCTTGACGACGTCCTCAAACACACGCTTGTAGAGCACCGTGTCGAGCACGCTCACCTGCGTCCACCACCACCACGTCCACCACCACGTCCACCACCACGTCCACCACCACGTCCACCACCACGTCCACCACCACGTCCACCACCACGTCCACCACCACCACCACGTCCACCACCACGTCCACCACCACGTCAACCACAGTTTACACCACCGCGTCCATCACAAAGCCCATCACCACGTCCGCCACGTCCATCACGTCGTACATCACCACGTCAACCACCACCATGTCAACCACCATGTCAACCACCATGTCAACCACCACCATGTCAACCACCCCCATGTCAACCACCACCATGTCAACCACCACCATGTCAACCACCATGTCAACCACCACCATGTCAACCACCATGTCAACCACCATGTCAACCACCACCATGTCAACCACCATGTCAACCACCACCATGTCAACCACCATGTCAACCACCACCATGTCAACCACCACCATGTCAACCACCATGTCAACCACCATATCAACCACCACCATGTCAACCACCACCATGTCAACCAGCATGTCAACTACCATGTCAACCACCATGTCAACCACCACCATGTCAACCACCATGTCAACCACCACCATGTCAACCACCACCATGTCAACCACCATGTCAACCACCACCATGTCAACCACCATGTCAACCACCACCATGTCAACCACCACCATGTCAACCACCACCATGTCAACCACCATGTCAACCACCACCATGTCAACCACCACCATGTCAACCACCACCATGTCAACCACCACCATGTCAACCACCACCATGTCAACCACCATATCAACCACCACCATGTCAACCACCACCATGTCAACCACCACCATGTCAACCACCATGTCAACCACCACCATGTCAACCACCACCATGTCAACCACCACCATGTCAACCACCATGTCAACCACCACCATGTCAACCACCATGTCAACCACCACCATGTCAACCACCACCATGTCAACCACCACCATGTCAACCACCACCATGTCAACCACCATATCAACCACCATCATGTCAACCACCACCATGTCAACCACCACCATGTCAACCACCACCATGTCAACCACCACCATGTCAACCACCATATCAACCACCACCATGTCAACCACCATGTCAACCACCACCATGTCAACCACCATGTCAACCACCATGTCAACCACCACCATGTCAACCACCACCATGTCAACCACCACCATGTCAACTACCACCATGTCAACCACCATGTCAACCACCACCATGTCAACCACCACCATGTCAACCACCACCATGTCAACCACCACCATGTCAACCACCACCATGTCAACCACCATGTCAACCACCACCATGTCAACCACCATGTCAACCACCACCATGTCAACCACCACCATGTCAACCACCACCATGTCAACCACCACCATGTCAACCACCACCATGTCAACCACCACCATGTCAACCACCACCATGTCAACCACCATATCAACCACCACCATGTCAACCACCACCATGTCAACCACCACCATGTCAACCACCATGTCAACCACCACCATGTCAACCACCACCATGTCAACCACCACCATGTCAACCACCACCATGTCAACCACCATGTCAACCACCACCATGTCAACCACCACCATGTCAACCACCACCATGTCAACCACCATGTCAACCACCACCATGTCAACCACCACCATGTCAACCACCACCATGTCAACCACCACCATGTCAACCACCATATCAACCACCACCATGTCAACCACCACCATGTCAACCACCACCATGTCAACCACCACCATGTCAACCACCACCATGTCAACCACCACCATGTCAACCACCATGTCAACCACCATGTCAACCACCACCATGTCAACCACCACCATGTCAACCACCACCATGTCAACTACCACCATGTCAACCACCATGTCAACCACCACCATGTCAACCACCATGTCAACCACCATGTCAACCACCACCATGTCAACCACCACCATGTCAACCACCACCATGTCAACCACCACCATGTCAACTACCACCATGTCAACCACCATGTCAACCACCACCATGTCAACCACCACCGCGTCCACCAGGTGCCCGCCCCCCTTGCCCCTCCCCCCCCTTGCCCCTCCCCCCCCTTGCCCCTCCCCCCCCCTTGCCCCTCCCCCCCCTTGCCCCTCCCCCCCCTTGCCCCTCCCCCCCCCTTGCCCCTCCCCCCTTGCCCCCCCCCGCCCCCCCGCGCACCGCGATGTTGAAGACGGCGCTGACGGGTTTGTGGTCGCTCACACACAGCTCCATGTGGCTGCCGTAACGCAGCAGCTGCACGCCGGGGCCCTTCCACAGCACGCGGTCACACCACGCCGGCACACGGCACTTCTCGCTGGCGAGGAACAGACGGCACAGCGGCAATCACCATTGTTAGAGGCAGCGAGTGACGTCATCACCATTGTCAGTGAGTGACATCAGCATCAGCATTGTCAGAGGCAGTGAGTGACATAATCATCACCATTGTCAGTGAGTGACATCATCATCACCATTGTCACAGGCAGTGAGTGACGTCATCACCATTGTCAGTGAGTGACATCAGCATCAGCATTGTCAGAGGCAGTGAGTGACATAATCATCACCATTGTCAGTGAGTGACATCATCATCACCATTGTCAGAGGCAGTGAGTGACGTCATCACCATTGTCAGTGAGTGACATCATCATCACCATTGTCAGAGGCAGTGAGTGACGTCATCACCATTGTCAGTGAGTGACATCATCATCAGCATTATCAGAGGCAGTGAGTGACGTCATCACCATTGTCAGTGAGTGACATCATCATCAGCATTGTCAGAGGCAGTGAGTGACGTCATCACCATTGTCAGAGGCAGTGAGTGACGTCATCACCATTGTCAGTGAGTGACATCATCATCACCATTGTCAGAGGCAGTGAGTGACGTCATCACCATTGTCAGTGAGTGACATCATCATCAGCATTATCAGAGGCAGTGAGTGACGTCATCACCATTGTCAGTGAGTGACATCATCATCAGCATTGTCAGAGGCAGTGAGTGACGTCATCACCATTGTCAGAGGCAGTGAGTCACGTCATCACCATTGTCAGTGAGTGACATCATCATCAGCATTGTCAGAGGCAGTAAGTGACGTCATCACCATTGTCAGAGGCAGTGAGTGACGTCATCACCATTGTCAGTGAGGGACATCATCATCAGCATTGTTAGAGGCAGTGAGTGACGTCATCACAATTGTCAGAGACAGTGAGTGACATAATCATCACCATTGTCAGAGGCAGTGAGTGACGTCATCACCATTGTCAGAGACAGTGAGTGACATCATCATCACCATTGTCAGAGGCAGTGAGTGACGTCATCACCATTGTCAGTGAGTGACATCATCATCACCATTGTCAGAGGCAGTGAGTGACGTCATCACCATTGTCAGTGAGTGACATCATCATCAGCATTATCAGAGGCAGTGAGTGACGTCATCACCATTGTCAGTGAGTGACATCATCATCAGCATTGTCAGAGGCAGTGAGTGACGTCATCACCATTGTCAGAGGCAGTGAGTGACGTCATCACCATTGTCAGTGAGTGACATCATCATCAGCATTGTCAGAGGCAGTAAGTGACGTCATCACCATTGTCAGAGGCAGTGAGTGACGTCATCACCATTGTCAGTGAGGGACATCATCATCAGCATTGTTAGAGGCAGTGAGTGACGTCATCACAATTGTCAGAGACAGTGAGTGACATAATCATCACCATTGTCAGAGGCAGTGAGTGACGTCATCACCATTGTCAGAGACAGTGCGTGACATCGTCACCATTGTCAGTGAGTGACATCATCATCACCCTTGTCAGTGAGTGACATCATCATCACCATTGTCAGAGGCAGTGAGTGACGTCGTTATCACCATTGTCAGTGAGTGACATCATCATCACCCTTGTCAGTGAGTGACGTCGTTGTGCAGCGTGTCTGCCCCCCCCCCCGCACCTCGTGTCCCACTTGCTGGAGCCCGTGTCGTACTTGTACGTGGGCTGGAAGGTGACGGCCCCCTCCGAGTAGCCCGAGAACGCCAACTTCTTGCCCCTCTGCAGGCTCAGCTGGCACACCGCACCAGACTAAGATTCCCCCTCCGTCGCACACACACATACACACAGACACCACACACACACATACACACAAACACACAAACACACACGCACACGCACATACACAAACACACGCGCACGCACACACACACACACACACCACACACACACACACGCACGCACACAGACACAAACACACACACAGACACACACACACACAAACACAAGCACACACACACAGACACACACACATACACACAAACACACACACCACGCACACACACCACACACACACAAACACACACACACACCACGCACACACACGCACGCACACACACAAACACACACACGCACACAAACACACACACGCACACAAACACACACACACAAACGCACACACGCACACACACGCACACAAACACGCACACACGCACACACACGCACACACACGCACGCACACACACACACACACGCGCACACACACACACGCACACACACACACACGCACACACACGCACACACACGCGCACGCACACAAACACACAAACACACACACACACACACACCACGCGCACACACACACGCACACACACACACCACGCACACACACACACACGCACACACACACACACGCACACACACCACACACACACACACACACGCACGCACACACACACAAACACACACACAGACACACACACAAACACAAGCACGCACACATACACACACACACAAACACACACACACGCACACAGACACACGCACACACGCACACACACACACGCACACACACACACGCACGCACACACACGCACACACACGCACACACACACGCACACACACGCACACACACGCACACACGCTGCCAGGGCAAGTGCTGTTGGCGTGCCGTCAGCGAGCAGCGGCGCCCACGGCACTCCGGAGCGGCGTCTACGCCGGCCGTGTGGCCGACGCCGCTCCGGCCCCCGGCCACCAGTGTCTGCCCGGCGTTGGTGTTTACGTACGCCGCCTGACGACAAAGACCCCCCACCCCACCCCCACCCCCGTGTCGTCTTTAACAGACGACTGGGGCAAGTGCTGTTGGCGAGCACCTGTCAAAGGCCGGAACGGCACAGGACGAGGGGGTGCTGGGTGGCCAGCACCACGCCCTGCACAACTTTGTCTCAGATATTTGCCAATGCTGTTGGGCGCGAACGGGAAGTAGAACTCGCACACACACACGCACGGCCAGCCACATACACACACACACGGCCACAGACACACACACACACGGCCAGCCACATACACACACACACGCACGGCCACAGACACACGCACACACACGCACGGCCAGCCACATACACACACACACGCACGGCCAAAGACACACGCGCACGGCCACAGACACACACGCACGGCCAAGACACACACACACACACACACGGCCAGCCACATACACACACACACGCACGGCCAAAGACACACGCACACGGCCAAAGACACACACACGCACGGCCACAGACACACACACACACACGGCCACATACACACACACACATACACACACACACACACGCGAGTTGCGTAACTAATCGCTCAGGCGTGGACTCGGCTGTGGCCCGACACACAATGGCCGGCTCCGGGCGGCCCCAGCCCCCCCCTCCGCCCCCCAACCTGGTCATGCTGCTGCAGCGTCTGGAAGTCCTGGTCCTCGATGAGCAGCTTCACCTTCTCCACGTCCACCTCAGTCAGCCGGTAGTTGAGGTCGCCCAGCCACAGGATGATGCTGCCCGGGAGAAAAAGGCCCAGCGACACTTCCTCCTACCCCACCGCCCCCCGCGTAGCCCACGCAGGCTGACCGGGGCAATCGGAGTTCGCGACCGGCGCTGCGGTAACAATAAAATCGGACTGCGACGGGATCACCGATCTTGCCGACGTTAGCCAATCAAATGAACGGGGGCGTGTCACATCGTCACTCGATCCACGGATCAGTAGGCAATGAATCGGCACGGTGATTAGCCCGCAAATAAACGATTAACCCGCTCTTTTTGATGTTTGTTTACTAATGGAGCCCGATCGATACAATTAATCGCGATTAACGATCCACTCGCAAAGACACGCCCCTTCGTCCAACGCCACGCCCACTTTCTTCCATACATGGGCAAATCTCTGATCGGTGATTTTGTCTGGTGTACGATTTAATCGCTCTGTTACAGCGCACATTGATAGGCGGCCGGTCACTGGGAGCGGAGCTCCCAAGGTGAGTGGGAGCAATTCGCGTTGATAGGCAACGCAGCATTCACCAGGGCGGCCTGCCGGGATTCGAACCACCCACTTCTGTAACGAGCGGCGAAGTCCCTGCCGCTAGGCCACACGTGGTCGGGGTGGACTCTCACGTGGTCGGGGTGGACTCTCACGTGGTCGGGGTGGACTCTCACGTGGTCGGGGTGGACTCTCACGTGGTCGGGGTGGACTCTCACGTGGTCGGGGTGGACTCTCACGTGGTCGGGGTGGACTCTCACGTGGTCGGGGTGGACTCTCGCGTGGTCGGGGTGGACTCTCACGTGGTCGGGGTGGACTCTCGTGTGGTCGGGGTGGACCCTCACGTGGTCGGGGTGGACTCTCACGTGGTCGGGGTGGACTCTCGCGTGGTCGGGGTGGACTCTCACGTGTGATCGGGGTGGACTCTCGCGTGGTCGGGGTGGACTCTCGCGTGGTCGGGGTGGACTCTCAAGTGTGATCGGGGTGGACTCTCACGTGGTCGGGGTGGACTCTCACGTGGTAGGGGTGGACTCTCGCGTGGTCGGGGTGGACTCTCACGTGGTCGGGGTGGACTCTCGCGTGGTCGGGGTGGACTCTCACGTGGTCGGGGTGGACTCTCACGTGTGATCGGGGTGGACTCTCACGTGGTCGGGGTGGACTCTCACGTGGTCGGGGTGGACTCTCGCGTGGTCGGGGTGGACTCTCACGTGTGATCGGGGTGGACTCTCACGTGGTCGGGGTGGACCCTCCCGTGGTCGGGGTGGACTCTCACGTGTGATCGGGGTGGACTCTCACGTGGTCGGGGTGGACTCTCGCGTGGTCGGGGTGGACTCTCGCGTGGTCGGGGTGGACTCTCACGTGTGATCGGGGTGGACTCTCACGTGGTCGGGGTGGACTCTCGCGTGGTCGGGGTGGACCCTCACGTGGTCGGGGTGGACTCTCACGTGTGATCGGGGTGGACTCTCACGTGGTCGGGGTGGACTCTCGCGTGGTCGGGGTGGACTCTCGCGTGGTCGGGGTGGACTCTCGCGTGGTCGGGGTGGACTCTCGCGTGGTCGGGGTGGACTCTCGCGTGGTCGGGGTGGACTCTCACGTGGTCGGGGTGGACTCTCGCGTGGTCGGGGTGGACTCTCACGTGGTCGGGGTGGACTCTCACGTGGTCGGGGTGGACTCTCACGTGGTCGGGGTGGACTCTCACGTGGTCGGGGTGGACTCTCATGTGTGATCGGGGTGGACTCTCACGTGTGGTCGGGGTGGACTCTCACGTGTGATCGGGGTGGACTCTCACGTGTGATCGGGGTGGACCTCTCTGGGGTGGACCCCTGCAGGGTTGGCCACTCACTCGTGGTTGGGGATGGAGAGGCGTGGCAGAGTGGCGTCGATCTGCGGGAAGGAGAGGCGGGAGACGATGTCGCGGTAGTCCTGGTTACGGCGCTCCACCTCCTCGGTGTGGGCGGCGAGGTGAGCGTTCACCACGCACACCGACGAACTGTGCAGGAGGAAGCGCACCGCCACGCCGCCTTTGTTTCCCTGCCGCACCGCACACGCACAGAGACACGCACAGAGACACGCACAGAGACACGCACACGCACAGAGACACGCACAGAGACACGCACAGAGACACGCACAGAGACACGCACAGAGACACGCACACGCACACAGACACGCACACGCACAGAGACACGCACAGAGACACGCACAGAGACACGCACAGAGACACGCACACGCACACGCACAGAGACACGCACAGAGACACGCACACGCACAGAGACACGCACACGCACAGAGACACGCACAGAGACACGCACAGAGACACGCACAGAGACACGCACACGTACAGAGACACGCACACATGCACAGAGACACGCACACGCACAGAGACACGCGGACTAAGACAGAGATCCCCCATACAGCGGTGAGAGTGGAGAGAGTGGAGAATGTGGTGAGTGTGGTGAGTGTGGTGAGCAAGGTGAGTGTGGTGAGTGTGGTGAGTGTGGTGAGTGTGGTGAGCGTGGTGAGTGTGGTGAGTGTGGTGAGTGTGGTGAGTGTGGTGAGCGTGGTGAGTGTGGTGAGCGTGGTGAGTGTGGTGAGTGTGGTGAGTGTGGTGAGTGTGGTGAGTGAGGTGAGTGTGGTGAATGTGGTGAGCGTGGTGAGTGTGGTGAATGTGGTGAGCGTGGTGAGCGTGGTGAGCGTGGTGAGTGTGGTGAGTGTGGTGAGTGTGGTGAGCGTGGTGAGTGTGGTGAGCGTGGTAAGTGTGGTGAGCAAGGTGAGTGTGGTGAGCAAGGTGAGTGTGGTGAGTGTGGTGAGCAAGGTGAGTGTGGTGAGTGTGGTGAGTGCCCTCACCATCTTGCCCATGATTCCGGTCCCCACGGTCTCAGCCTCCACCTCGGAGATGAACGAGGCGTGCTCCTCCCTCGCAAACACCAGCAGCATCATCCCAACCAGCCTCACCAGCCGCACCTACACGCAACATCACACCGGCGTCATACCACACACGGCATCACACCAACCAGCCTCACCAGCCGCACCTACACGCAACATCACACCGGCGTCATACCACACACGGCATCACACCAACCAGCCTCACCAGCCGCACCTACACGCAACATCACACCGGCGTCATACCACACACGGCATCACACCAACCAGTATCGCCAGCCTCACCTACACGCAACATCACACCAGCATCATACCACACACGGCATCATCCCCACCAGCCTCGCCAGCCTCACCTACACGCAACATCACACCGGCGTCATACCACACACGGCATCACACCAACCAGTATCGCCAGCCTCACCTTACACACAGCATCATACCAGCGTCATCCACACCAGCGTCGACTGCATGCAGCAGTACATAAGCATCATACCCACACACAGCATCATACCCACCAGCATCTCAGCGGCGTTGGCTCAACATCTCTGACACGGCAATTATGGACCTCCGAGAACAGATGTTGCTTACGAATTTTCAATTCCCCTTACGATGTCCATGAGAGAGAGAGAGATGGTGAGTGGGGAGCTGGGGGTGACTGTCAGGCTGTGAGAGAGAGATGGTGAGTGGGGAGCTGGGGGTGACTGACAGGCCCTGAGAGAAAGAGAGAGATGGTGAGTGGGGGAGCTGGGGGTGACTGACAGGCCATGAGAGAGAGAGAGAGATGGTGAGTGGGGAGCTGGGGGTGACTGTCAGGCTGTGAGAGAGAGATGGTGAGTGGGGAGCTGGGGGTGACTGACAGGCCATGAGAGAGAGAGAGAGATGGTGAGTGGGGGAGCTGGGGATGACTGCAAGGCTGTGAGAGAGAGAGAGATGGTGAGTGGGGGAGCTGGGGGTGACTGACAGGCCATGAGAGAGAGAGAGAGATGGTGAGTGGGGGAGCTGGGGTGACTGTCAGGCTGTGAGAGAGAGAGAGATGGTGAGTGGGGAGCTGGGGGTGACTGACAGGCCCTGAGAGAGAGAGAGAGAGATGGTGAGTGGGGAGCTGGGGTGACTGTCAGGCTGTGAGAGAGAGAGAGATGGTGAGTGGGGGAGCTGGGGGTGACTGCAAGGCCATGAGAGAGAGAGATGGTGAGTGGGGAGCTGGGGATGACTGCAAGGCTGTGAGAGAGAGAGAGAGATGGTGAGTGGGGAGCTGGGGGTGACTGACAGGCCCTGAGAGAGAGAGAGAGAGATGGTGAGTGGGGAGCTGGGGTGACTGTCAGGCTGTGAGAGAGAGAGAGATGGTGAGTGGGGGAGCTGGGGGTGACTGCAAGGCCATGAGAGAGAGAGATGGTGAGTGGGGAGCTGGGGATGACTGACAGGCCCTGAGAGAGAGAGAGATGGTGAGTGGGGAGCTGGGGGTGACTGACAGGCCATGAGAGAGAGAGAGAGATGGTGAGTGGGGGAGCTGGGGGTGACTGCAAGGCTGTGAGAGAGAGAGAGAGAGATGGTGAGTGGGGAGCGGGGGGTGACTGCAAGGCTGTGAGAGAGAGAGAGAGAGATGGTGAGTGGGGAGCTGGGGGTGACTGCAAGGCTGAGAGAGAGAGATGGTGAGTGGGGGAGCTGGGGGTGACTGACAGGCCATGAGAGAGAGATGGTGAGTGGGGGAGCTGGGGGTGACTGCAAGGCTGTGAGAGAGAGAGATGGTGAGTGGGGAGCTGAGGGTGACTGCAAGGCTGAGAGAGACAGATGGTGAGTGGGGAGCTGGGAGTGACTGACAGGCCATGAGAGAGAGAGAGGTGGTGAGTGGGGAGCTGGGGGTGACTGACAGGCTGTGAGAGAGAGAGATGGTGAGTGGGGGAGCTGGGGGAGCTGGGAGTGACTGCAAGGCTGAGAGAGAGAGAGAGATGTTGAGTGAGGAGCTGGGGGTGACTGCAAGGCTGTGAGAGACAGAGAGAGATGGTGAGTGGGGAGCTGGGGGTGACTACCAGGCTGTGAGAGACAGAGAGAGATGTTGAGTGGGGAGCTGGGGGTGACTGTCAGGCTGAGAGAGAGAGAGAGAGATGGTGAGTGGGGAGCTGGGGGTGACTGACAGGCCATGAGAGAGAGAGATGGTGAGTGGGGGAGCTGGGGGTGACTGCAAGGCTGTGAGAGAGAGAGATGGTGAGTGGGGAGCTGGGGGTGACTGCAAGGCTGAGACAGAGAGAGATGGTGAGTGGGGAGCTGGGGGTGACTGACAGGCTGTGAGAGACAGAGAGAGAGATGGTGAGTGGGGGAGCTGGGGGTGACTACCAGGCTGTGTGAGAGAGAGAGAGAGATGGTGAGTGGGGGAGCTGGGGGTGACTGACAGGCCCTGAGAGAGAGAGAGAGATGGTGAGTGGGGGGGGAGTTGTGGGTGACTGCCAGGTCGCATGAATGAACGTTTCATGGGGACCATCAACTCAGTAAACGCATTTTCACGCTCAGCGTGGCCAGCACACACACAAAGAAGATGCCCACACGCACAACGACAAAGATCCCCTGTACAGCCTGTTACAGACTGTTGGGGCAAGTAATGTTAGCGAGCCCCTATGGAGACTGTCAAGACGCACACAGACTAGTATTACTACGTAGTAGTAGTACTACTAGTATTACTACGTAGTAGTAGTACACGTGACTAGTATTACTACGTAGTAGTACACGTGACTAGTATTACTACGTAGTAGTACACGTGACTAGTATTACTACGTAGTAGTACACGTGACTAGTATTACTACGTAGTAGTACACGTGACTAGTATTACTACGTAGTAGTACACGTGACTAGTATTACTACATAGTAGTACACGTGACTAGTATTACTACATAGTAGTACACGTGACTAGTATTACTACGTAGTAGTACACGTGACTAGTATTACTACGTAGTAGTACACGTGACTAGTATTACTACGTAGTAGTAGTACTACTAGTATTACTACATAGTAGTAGTACACGTGACTAGTATTACTACGTAGTAGTACACGTGACTAGTATTACTACGTAGTAGTACACGTGACTAGTATTACTACGTAGTAGTACACGTGACTAGTATTACTACGTAGTAGTACACGTGACTAGTATTACTACGTAGTAGTACACGTGACTAGTATTACTACATAGTAGTACACGTGACTAGTATTACTACGTAGTAGTACACGTGACTAGTATTACTACGTAGTAGTACACGTGACTAGTATTACTACATAGTAGTAGTACACGTGACTAGTATTACTACGTAGTAGTACACGTGACTAGTATTACTACGTAGTAGTACACGTGACTAGTATTACTACGTAGTAGTACACGTGACTAGCATTACTACGTAGTAGTACACGTGACTAGTATTACTACGTAGTAGTACACGTGACTAGCATTACTACGTAGTAGTACACGTGACTAGCATTACTACGTAGTAGTAGTACAGTGAGGGAAAACATTATTTGATCCCCTGCTGATTTTGTACGTTTGCCCACTGACAAAGAAATGATCAGTCTACATTTTTAATGGTAGGTTTATATGAACAGTGAGAGACAGAATACCAACAAAAAAATCCAGGAAAACGCATGTCAAAAATGTTATAAATTGATTTGCATTTTAATGAGGGATATAAGTATTTGACCCCTCTGCAAAACATGACTTAGTACTTGGTGGCAAAACCCTTGTTGGCAATGACAGAGGTCAGACGTTTCTTGTAGTTGCCACCAGGTTTGCACACATCTCAGGAGGGATTTTGTCCCACTCCTCTTTGCAGATCTTCTCCAAGTCATTAAGGTTTCGAGGCTGAATTCGGCAACTCGAACCTTCAGCTCCTTTCACAGATTTTCTATGGGATTAAGGTCTGGAGACTGGCTAGGCCACTCCAGGAACCTTAATGTGCTTCTTCTTGAGCCACTCCTCTGTTGCCTTGGCCATGTGTTTTGGGTCATTGTCATGCTGGAATACCCATCCCCGACTCATTTTCAATGCCATGGCTGAGGGAAGGAGGTGCTCACCCAAGATTTGACGGTACATGGCCCCGCCCATCGTCCCTTTGATGCGGTGAAGTTGTCCTGTCCCCTTAGCAGAAAAACACCCCCAAAACATAATGTTTCCACCTCCATGTTTGACGGTGGGGATGGTGTTCTTGGGGTCATAGGCAGCATTCCTCCTCCTCCAAACACGGCGAGTTGAGTTGATGCCAAAGAGCTCCATTTTGGCCTCATCTGACAACAACACTTTCACCCAGTTGTCCTCCAAATAATTCAGATGTTCATTGGCAAACTTCAGACGGGCATGTGTATGTGCTTTCTTGAGCAGGGGGACCTTGCGGGTGCTGCAGGATTTCAGTCCTTCACGGCGTAGTGTGTTACCAATTGTTTTCTTGGTGACAATGGTCCCAGCTGCCTTGAGATCATTGATAAGATCCTCCCGTGTAGTTCTGGGCTGATTCCTCACCGTTCTCATGATCATTGCAACTCCACGAGGTGAGATCTTGCATGGAGCCCCAGGCCGAGGGAGATTGACAGTTCTTTTGTGTTTCTTACATTTGCGAATAATCGCACCAACTGTTGTAACCTTCTCACCAAGCTGCTTGGCAATGGTCTTGTAGCCCATTCCAGCCTTGTGTAGGTCTACAATCTTGTCCCTCACATCGTTGGAGAGCTCTTTGGTCTTGGCCATGGTGGAGAGTTTAGAATCTGATTGATTGTGGACAGGTGTCTTTTATACAGGTAACAAGATGAGATTAGGAGCACTCCCTTTAAGAGTGTGCTCCTAATCTCAGCTCGTTACCTGTATAAAAGACACCTGGGAGCCAGAAATCTTTCAGATTGAGACGGGGTCAAATACTTGTTTCCCTCATTAAAATGCAAATCAATTTATAACAATTTTGACATGCGTTTTTCTGGATTTTGTTGTTGTTATTCTGTCTCTCCCTGTTCAAAAAAACATACCATTAAAATTATAGACTGATCATTTCTTTGTCAGTGGGCAAAGTACAAAAGCACCAGGAGATCAAATACTATTTTCCCTCACTGTACATGTGACTATTATTATTACGGAGTAGTACATGTGACTATTATTACACAGCGCCTTTCGAGAAGCTACATGATGCGCTGTGCACCACAATGGATAAGCAGATGAATCGCTCGCCAAGGGGAGGCGAAGCAAAGCAGAGAAGCGGAATGAGAGCCAAGCGAAGCCAGGGCGACCACAGCGGAGTCCAGGCGGAGGTTGCACCTCACCCCCCTCCTCACCCCACCCCCCTCCTCACCCCACCCCCCTCCTCACCCCACCCCCCTCCTCACCCCACCCCCCTCCTCACCCCACCCCCTCCTCACCCCACCCCCCTCCTCTCCCCACCCCCCTCCTCTCCCCACCCCCTGCTCTCCGCATCGCGAGACCACACCCAGCACTCCACAGCCAGGGGGGGCAGGCGAGTGAGTGGGTGAGTGGGCGGGTGGGTGAGCGGGTGAGCGGGTGGGCAGGTGGGTAGGTGAGCGGGCGAGTGAGTGGGCGGGTGGGCGGGTGGGCGAGTGGGTGAGTGGGTGGGTGGGCAGGTGAGCGGGTGGGCAGGTGAGCGGGTGGGTAGGCGGGTGAACAGGTGGGTGGGCGGGTGGGTGGCTGGATGGATGAGCAGGCGAGTGGGTGGGTGAGCGCGTGGGCGAGTGGGTGAGCTGTTGAGCAAGTGGCTGGGCGAGTGGGTGAGCGGCTGAGTGAGTGGGTGAGCGGGTGAGTGTGTGAGCGAGTGAGTGAATGAGTGGCTGGCGGGTGAGTGAGTGGCTGAGCGGGTGAGTGAGTGAGTGAGTGGCTGGCGGGTGAGTGTGTGGGCGAGTGAGTGAGTGGCTGAGCGGGTGAGTGAGTGGCTGAGTGTGTGGGCGAGTGAGTGGCAGAGCGGGTGAGTAGGTGGGAGAGTGAGTGAGTGGCTCAGCGGCTGAGTGAGTGGCTGAGCGGGTGAGTGTGTGGGCGAGTGAGTGAGTGAGTGAGTGGCTCAGCGGGTGAGTGAGTGGATGGGCGGGTGAGTGTGTGGGCGAGTGAATGAGTGAGTGGCTGAGCGGCTGAGTGAGTGGCAGAGTGAGTGTGTGGGCGAGTGAGTGAGTGAGTGGGTGAGTGTGTGGGCGAGTGAGTGAGTGAGTGGCTGTGCGGCTGAGTGAGCGGGTGAGTGAGTGTGTGGGCGAGTGAGTGAGTGAGTGGCTGGCGGGTGAGTAGGTGGGCGAGTGAGTGAGTGGCTGAGCGGCTGAGTGAGTGGCTGAGTGAGTGTGTCGGCGAGTGAGTGAGTGGCTGAGTGAGTGGCTGAGTGAGTGTGTGGGCGAGTGAGTGAGTGGCTGTGCGGGTGAGTGTGTGGGCGAGTGAGTGAGTGAGTGGCCGAGCAGCTGAGTGAGTGGCTGAGTGAATGTGTGGGCGAGTGAATGAGTGATTGAGTGGCTGAGCGGGTGAGTGTGTGGGCGAGTGAGTGAGTGAGTGGCTGAGTGAGTGGCTGAGTGAGTGTGTGGGCGAGTGAGTGGCTGAGCGGGTGAGTGTGTGGGCGAGTGAGTGAGTGAGTGGCTGAGTGAGTGTGTGGGCGAGTGAGTGAGTGGCTGAGTGAGTGGCTGAGTGAGTGTGTGGGCGAGTGAGTGAGTGGCTGAGCGGGTGAGTGTGTGGGCGAGTGAGTGAGTGAGTGGCTGAGTGAATGTGTGGGCGAGTGAGTGAGTGGCTGAGTGAGTGGCTGAGTGAGTGTGTGGGCGAGTGAGTGAGTGGCTGAGTGAGTGGCTGAGTGAGTGTGTGGGCGAGTGAGTGAGTGGCTGAGCGGGTGAGTGTGTGGGCGAGTGAGTGAGTGAGTGGCTGAGTGAGTGTGTGGGCGAGTGAGTGAGTGGCTGAGCGGGTGAGTGTGTGGGCGAGTGAGTGAGTGACTGAGTGAGTGTGTGGGCGAGTGAGTGAGTGGCTGAGTGAGTGGCTGAGTGAGTGTGCGAGTGAGTGAGTGGCTGAGTGAGTGGCTGAGTGAGTGGCTGAGTGAGTGTGTGTGCGAGTGAGTGAGTGGCTGTGCGGGTGAGTGTGGGCGAGTGAGTGAGTGGCTGAGTGAGTGGCTGAGTGAGTGGCTGAGTGAGTGTGTGGGCGAGCGGCTGGGTGAGTGGCTGTGCGGGTGAGTGTGTGGGCGAGTGAGTGAGTGGCTGAGTGAGTGGCTGAGCGGGTGAGTGTGTGGGCGAGCGGCTGGGTGAGCACCTTGACGTATCGTGCCCCCGGGTGCAGGCTCTCGGTGACGGCACGGAGCCACTCCTCCTCCTTGGGGGAGTCGCTGAACACAAACGCCTCCTTGCTCAGGTCCAGCTCCTGGAACCTGCGGCACCACACGCGGAGGTCGTGCCCATCGGGTCATCGGGTCATCGGGTCGTCGGGTCGTCAGCTTACCGCGACTTCCAATGCCGTCTGCACAACCACCACCACCACCACAGCTTCCTTCCCTCTGCCAGATCCTGCTGCTGCTGCTGCTGCTCAATCCCAGAGCAGCTGCTCTACCAGCAAGAGAGTTTCATCTCATCCACCACACTTCGAGGTTACAACCCTCGCCCAACAGTTCACTCACTCAGCCACTTAGAATAATGACAACTTAAATTAATAAATTGCCCTTGAACAATCGTTCTCAGAGAGCTATGCGTGGCGAGGCAAAAATAGTGAAACATTAACCAAGGAAAGAAGAAGTGAGAGAGAGAGACTAAAGAGAGAGAGAGAGACAAAGCATTTTAAACAGAGGCGTTTTTCGTGGAGAAAGGACGATGTTTAAGAGTCTCAGAGGTCACCTTGCCTGGATGGGACAACGAGCAGCAAAGAGGTGAGGTGCCCCAATTGCCAAGTCGCCGTCACTCTCCCACACACTAACACACTCACACTCACACTAACACACTCACACTCACACACTAACACACTCACACTAACACACTCACACTAACACACTCACACACTAACACACTCACACACTATCACACTCACACACTAACACACTCACACACACACTCACACACTCACACTAACACACTCACACTAACACACTCGCACTAACACACTCACACACTCACACTAACACACTCACACTAACACACTCACACTAACACACTCACACACTAACACACTCACACACTAACACACTCACACTAACACTAACACACTCACTCTCCCACACACTAACACACAACAACAACAACCGCCATTCGCCACTAAGTGGCGGTGACGTCACCACGACGCTTGTGCCAGGCTATGTGCACCCTGAGGCCACGTGAAGTGTCGAACGCCCGCTGGCAGGAGGTCACGGGGCAGACCCAGATGCCACGGGTCGACTGACTGAGATGACTGGCTGATGCACCACCTGTGCCCCCTTCTGTGCCAACCTGCTGTGCTTTAGCCACCTGGCGCTCCGCTCATTGTTGTGAGCGCCGCTCCTCCGCCCTCCGTTGTTGTTGGAGGGCGACTACCTCCAACTGCCCAGTAGCATCCTTCACGAGCCTCCTCCACAGAGGCCGATCTTGACACCGCTGGTACCAGTCATCGGCAAGTCCACTCAGCTCCACGTCCTCCTGTACCACATCACTCCATCTCCTCTCTAGCCCGTGCCGCGCCCGCTTAGCCCCCTCAATCCGGCCGAACAAAAGCCGCCTCGGCATGCGGTGGCTGGGCATGCGGGCTACATGACCCAGCCACCGCAGCCCTGCCCGCCGGAGGAGCTCACCGATGGGACCTTGCCCAGATCTTTCAAGGATTTGTGAGCTCCTCACACAATCCAATCTGGTTAAACCCAGGATGGATCGTAGGCAGGCCAGCCTAAATGTTTCTAACCGGCGAAGATGTTCCACCAGGGGGTCCACGTTTCGCAAGCACAGAGAAGAGAGGGAATGACCGTGGCCGAGAAGACCTGAAGCTTAGTGCGGAGCGACAGACCAGGTAGCTTCCACACAGCGTTACGCAAACGATGAAAAGATATTGCCGCTCGACTGATTCGGAGTGAGACACTAACACACTCACACTAACACACTCACGCTCACGCTAACACACTCACTCTCCCACTAACACACACACACTCACGCTAACACACTCACACTCACACACTCACTCTCCCACTAACACACACACTCACGCTAACACACTCACGCTAACACACTCATGCTAACACACTCACACTAACACACTCACGCTAACACACTCACTCTCCCACTAACACACACACTCACACTAACACACTCACGCTAACACACTCACTCTCACGCTAACACACTCACGCTAACACACTTACACTCACGCTAACACACTCACTCTCCCACTAACACACACACTCATCATAAACACACTCACACTCATGCTAACACACTAACTCTCACGCTAACACACACTCTCCCACTAACACACACACTCACGCTAACACACTCACTCTCGCACTAACACACACACTCACGCTAACACACTCACGCTAACACACTCACGCTAACACACTCACTCTCCCACTAACACACACACTCACGCTAACAGACTCACTCTCCAACTAACACACACACTGACTCAAGCTAACACACTCACTCTCCCACTAACACACACACACTCATTGACTCACGCTAACACACTCACACCCCCACTAACACACACACTCACGCTAACACACTCACACCCCCAGTAACACACACACACACTCACTGACTCACGCTAACACACTCACGCTAACACACTCACTCTACCACTAACGCACACACACACCGACTCACGCTAACACACTCACTCTCCTACTAACACACACACACACACTGACTCACGCTAACACACGCACACTAACACACACTTACTCTCCCACTAACACACACACACTCACGCTAACACACTCACTCCCCCACTAACACACACACACTGACTCACGCTAACACACTCACACTAACACACACTCAAGCTAACACACTCACTCTCCTACTAACACACACACACACACACTGACTCACGCTAACACACTCACACTAACACACACTCACGCTAACACACGCACACACACACACCGACTCACGCTAACACTCTCCCACTCAGCCACTCACCCACTTGCTCACCCGCTCACCCACTCACCTCACGTTGAGACCTAGGGCAGAGACACGGGGACGTGGGGACGTGGGGACACAGGGAGGAGATAGGAGGAGATGCGGGTCAAGGGAGACAGCGAGGAGAACCAGTGATGAGACAAAGTGGAGACACTGGAACGCGAAGAGACGGGGGAGACACAGGAAAACACGGGGACAGTGGAGACACGGGGACACGGGAGACAAGGGATGTGGAGACACTGGGGGGAGACGCACGGAACGAAACGCACACGCGCGGAGCCGCACGGATGGATTGCGAGGCCGCCTTTACCCCACGCAGTAGACGTCAGGCGGCTCGGGGTCGCCTGCGAGCCACGGGCCGAGCGCCTCGCCCGGGGACTGCCCGTTCACGTTGTACGTGCCCACGTGGAACCTGCACGGGGGGGTCACAGGGTCACGGGGTGACTTGGAGAAGCGGGGACCAAGTGACGCAGGGGGGACACGGAGATCTGTCAGAACTGTCGCGAGAGAGTGAAACAGTTCGGCGTCAAGATGCACAGATTCACGGTCAAGAGTTCGAGGTTCACGCATTCAGGGTCAGGGTTCAACGTCCAGGAGTCGGGGTACACGTGCGTGACTCCCCGTGGCCCCCCGTGCCCCCCCCCTCCACCCCCGTGCGTGGCCCCCCGTGGACCCCCCCCCCCTCCACCCCCGTGCGTGGCCCCCTCACCGGAAGTCTCTTGGGGTGGTGTACTCCCTCTCGCGGCTCAGCAGGAGGCACTTGACGAGGTTGTCGCGGGCCCCGAACTGCTGGATGGAGAAGAGCTGGGAGCGCACGGGGGGCTCCATGTGGGGGGGAGGCGCGCCCCCCACGGCAGACGCCTTCAACGCCCCCCCCTCGCCTGGCACGGGCGGGGGGCTGCGCTCAACAAACACGCACACACGCACACGTGTACATACACGTGTACGTACGCGTGTACATACACGTGTACATACACGTGTATGTACACGCGTATGTACATACACGTGTATGTACACGTGTACATACGCGTGTACATACACGTGTACACGTGTACGTACACGTGTACATACGCGTGTACGTACACGTGTACATACACGTGTACGTACGCGTGTACATACACGTATACGTACGCGTGTACATACACGTGTACATACACGTGTACATACACGCGTATGTACATACATGTGTATGTACACGTGTACATACGCGTGTACAAGCGCGTGTACATACGCGTGTACATACACGACACAAAGATAGATCTCCTGTATAGCCTTGACAGACTGTTGGGGCAAGTGCTGTTAGTGAGCACCTACGAAAGCCGGCGGCACGGCACACGAGGATGTGGGTGGCCAGCATGACACCCGGCCACCTTTGTCTCGCCAGTGGCGATGTTTTACACACCGCACCAGGTACTCATTTGAGGCCGAGTCCACCTAGGGGAGGCCCAGGACCGGTTCAAATAATGTTGGCCATGAGCGGGGAATCGAACTCGGGTTGCCGGGATTGTAGCGCAGCACGCTAACCGCTGTACTATTGCTCCCCATACATACACGATCCCACACACACGCGCACACACGCACACACAGGTGTACAACAACAACAAAGCACCGTTCATCCATGAATGACGGTGACGTCACCACGGCACCTGTGCCAAGGCTAGTTGCACCTCGAGGCCACGTCAAGTGCGGCGGGCTCACTGACAGCTCACGGGCGAGACCCAGGTTGCCATGGGTTGGCCGTGATGACCGAGGAACCACCCGTGCTCCCCACTGTGCCACCTCGCAGCGTTTTAGTGCCGCCCGGTGCCTACGCTCATTGTTGCGAGCGTCGCTTCTCTGCCCGCTGCTGTTGTTGGAGGGCGACAGCGTCCTTCATGAGCCTCCTCCTCCTCGGAGGCCGATCTTGCCGATAACCGGCTGGTGCCGGTTATCGGCACGTCCACTCAGCTCCATATCCTCCGGTACCGCATCAGCCAATATCTTCTCCAGCCCGTACCGTGCCAAACTGCTTGAGCAAACTGCTTGGGCATATGGTGGCTGGGCATGCAGGCTACATGACCGAGCCAGCACAGTCACACCTGCCAAAGGAGCTGACTTATGGCGCTGTGTCTACATCTGTGAGCGCCTTACAAAACGCCAGCCTGGTTAAACCCAGGATGGACAGTAGGGAGGTCCGCCTGAATGTGTTGAACCTTTAAAAGGGCTGCACGCTTCACAAGCACGGAGAAGGGAAGGCATTTGCTGTGGTCAAAAAGACCCGGAGCTTCGTGTGGAGCGACACACCAGGTATCTTCCGCACAGCAGGACTACGCAGCCGATGAAAAGATAATACCGCTGGACTAATTCGGAGTGAGACCTCCGCTGTGAAACCGGAGCTGGCCACAAGCACTAAGGAAGGGGAACTCCCTCCACAACGTCCCCATCGCTCCGACTCACTCTCACCGTCTGTGCGTTCTCCGCTGTCCACGCATGTCCCCGTTGCTCCTATTGTCCATCTCACTGGCTGGCCATTCCTGAAGGTGCGGGACACACGGGACGCAGAGACACATGGGGACATTGTAGCATTGGTCACACATCGCCTCTCTACAGCCCCGAGCCAGTGGTGGAAATTCCACATTCTTATGGTAGGGTCTACGAGTCTCTGTGTCGAGGACAACCGCACAAAGCACGAGCGGTTTTATCGACCTTGCAGTCACCAACCCCCCCAACCCCCGCAAACAGGAATTGAACCCGCGACCTTCCGATTGCAAGCCACTCGCTCCACCGCTGACCAGCCACCCGGCTTTTACCCTACATTCAGTGAGCCACGCTAACCGGATCTTACCAAAACACGATTTAAAACCAGGCAATGGAACATTCGGATGCCGTTCCGCCGCGCGAGGACGCGCGGCTTCAGAGGAGGCGACGGTTCAAAGCCCCAGACCAGGTTCCGTTGTCAGCAGCGGAGCGCTCCGTCTGCCCAACGCCAGCAGCGGTAGCCGAGCACGTGGACGCCGTGGTTCCCATGAGGCTGCAGGGCGATCGCCACGCAGGAGGGCGCCGCTACCGCTGCCGCTGCTGCTGCTGGCACCCACAGACACAGCCGGCCGTCGTTTTGCAGTGCGTGGCGATGACCGCTGCTGCCGCCGCCGCCACCGCTGCTGCTGCTACGTGACCTCAACGGAGTACTTTGGGGCATAATTTTTCTTAAAAGTTGGACTTGTGACGCCGGCAGACAAGGGCCTCCTACTCGCTCCGAATACCGTCGCGGGATCTTTATTGCGAGTGAGGCAGACGGAGCGTAGTAAGCAGTCGGTAGTATTTCGTGGTCGACACGCACTGCAGTAGTAACCAGGGCAGCCTGCTAGATTCGAACTGCGAAGCCCCTTCAACAAGCAGCGGACGCGCTGTCGCTGAGTCACATCTCCCACTAAAAAAACTGCACATTTCTTTTTTGATTTAAAGCTTTCGTGACTGCAGGGATCCATATTCTTGGTTCTTTCGGTAAAGTCACCACCACGTAGAAGGGAAACAATAAAATAATCAAAATATAAAACAACAAAATTCTCACGACGTTTCGACCGCAACACAAGCAATCATCATCGGGTGTTAAGAAAAAATAAACCCGCCACTTTTTTCAAATGTTCTTGCTGTGTTTTTCACAACTGATGACTAAGCGTTTCCCTTCTACGTGACTTTACCGGAAGAACCAAGAACACACACTTCTTTTTTTTAGCAGGTCAGGCCCACTGAGCTATGTAGCTCTTTTTCAGAAGCGACCTGGCCACGAATGACAGCTCAACGAAGTGGCTGACCATGTGGAAATTTATAGCAACCAAGTACACTAAACGCAGGCTGATTCTAAATGAGGACCTGGATAAAAATCCACGCCACCACGGGCAGTCCACGCATATTCAGGCGTTGAGGTCGGGATCGAACCCCACGACCTCCTGCATACCAGGCGAGGTAGTTAACATCTCCTAGCCACCGTGGTACTAATCTCCCCCCCGCCCCAACCAGCATGGTGCCGCCTAACCTCTGTAATCTATACTGGGAGCCATTGGGTAAATTAATGCGGTTATCCGAGCTCTCACGAGCAACATGATTACACCACCGCCACTGCACGCGCAGAGAGCGGCGTGAGGATTTACAAAACCAGCCCACTACCTTTTCGTCCCCCTGCGGTGGGAGACGGAATCGGACCGGCGACCCCCTGGATTCCAAAGTCTCAACACTGGCGGGGGCAGCTCATAAATACACGCGAAAACCACTCGGACTAACCCAGCCCGGTCACGTTGTCTCACAACCAACTTCGTGTTGGTATTTATAGAGGAAATGGGTCTGTTGCCTCCAAAACACTCTTCCATCGCTACGACTGCCACCACCATCACGGGGGCCGTTCCCGTGAACTTCACCCATTGTCTGTACCCCACACTGTGTTCAACAGCCACCACCGTAGCTCAGGTCGCAACAACACTCACCAACTCAACAAAACTCGCAACCACTCAATTACCACACTGCAGGTCACTTCTCTGTGCGAGTCTCTGTGCAAGTCTACGAGTCTCTGTTTGTCTATGGGTCTCTTTCGGAGTCCAAGGGTTTTCTGTGCGAGTCTATGGGTCTCTGTACGAGCCTGTGGGTTCCTATGCAAGTCTATGGGTCCTCATCAGCAGAGTCAGGCTTGCATATATCGGTTCAATGCAGGTTCAAAACAAGCAAACTCTGGACTGATTTCAAGCCTTGCATATATTGATTCAGCTCAAGCAAAACGCTGGACCGGTTTCAACATGCAGTGTCTCACCAGCAGAGCCAGGCTCGCTCGAACCAATGCCGATTGACTGCCAGATGTGCATCGCCAAGGGCCCTGTCAGTTTGACGCAAAACTCTCGAATACACAGCAAAGAATATAATAAAACCGAGTGGCCCGAGACAAACCCCGCAGATCTCCACCACCACCACAGCCGCACCGCGTCCCTCTGCGACCCGACCCGGTGGCCTCTCGGGACCACGTCAAAAAATCCCTCCGCTAATTAAACTCTCGCCGCCACCTCGGCGCGAACGGTAAACGAGCCGAGTGAACTCCTCCCTGGCGTGGATTTCCCAAGCCCGTGCCAACTTGCGGTGGCAGAGGCCGGATCGGGGTCTACACTTGGGCCAGTGGAGGGTTGGGGGTGGGGGGGGGAGATTGGAACGGCCCCGAGCGGAGAAGCTCCACATTCCGCACGCAGAGACACACGCGCCCCACCAAAACCCCACGCGTCTCACGAGGCCCCATGGGTCTCACCAAACTCCACGCGTCCCACCAAATCCCATGGGTCTCACGTAACTTCACACATCACACCAAATGCCACGGGTCTCGCCCAAACCTCTGTGCGTTGGCGATCTCTGGAACACGCAAGTCCGGTGCGACACTTGGACCACTGCACCTGCACTGGTGCAACACCGAATGTAAAAAACGAGAGTGATTTTAGCCACCCCCCTCGTGTCGTAGGGCATTAACCTCGCGAACCGAGAATCGCAAAGACAGCAGCTGCCACAGCGCCGGTGCTCGGCGTTGCACTGGGCTCGCGATCCGGAGCTCGCCGGTTCCATTCCATCTGCCGGCGTGGCATTTGAAACAAGTTTCTCAAACCTAGCCCCCCCCCCCCCCCCCATCCCCATCTTCCCACTCTCTCCGCCGCCTCCGTGAGAGAGGCGATTTGCGCAACAGGCGCCGGCGCTGCTGCTCTGGACAAAAAACTCCGACGTTGAACACGGAACAAAGAGATAGCAGCTGGGAAGCATCATCGGCAATCTTGACGCTGGACAGCAACATCGCAGCGCGTCAAACGGAGCGGGTTTCCAACCAGGGCGTGTGCTCCTGTTGTGAAGCGACGGGTCGGATGCAACGGACACCCACAAAGAAAACGGAACGCAAACCGAAAGGGGTGTAGCGGAAATGCACGGCGGTCAACGTGCAATTATATCTCGCGCTGACGACGAAACAAGAAGCGGAACAACGAGGATTACAGAACCAATGCACAGCTTGTGTTGACTCGTTTAGAACAGAAGCAGTTAGGCTTTGCTTCGGCCCGACGCATGACGCGCGATGAAGGGACGGGCGATGGCCGAGAACGATCGAGGAGCGGCAGCCGAGGAAGCGGAACGCGTCCGGGCGGAGGAGATGGAGCGATGAAGAAGTGAGCTCGTGTGCCATAGAGCAGGTGCCGGGTAGGTCGTCACTGCATCGCAGGATTGTGAGAGGTGGCTTGGGAGGCCTTCATCCAGCAGGGAATAGATCACGGCTGGTGATGATGATGATGATGATGAAAGACTGAAATTGGTGCGCATCTCCTGCTAAGACAAACTCATCGGACAAATGGACAGCAGCCAAGAAAACGGACAAGAAAAACTGAGAAGTTCCGCACAGAAAGCGTGGAGAGAGAGAGAGAGAGAGATGCCACGCAGGGAATTACACCGAGAGACTGGGAGAGGAATACCTGCATCGGAGAACACGTGATAACTCACGCCGCTTAGACCGTTAAGGTAACGTCAGTGGGGCTCGATAAATTTGCAGGAAGACGTCACGGGAAGGGACATGACCCAAGAGGGAAACAAACCACTGCGGATATGGAGCAACGCCGCTATCAGGTCGTTTGCAGCGGTGAGCTGGACTGTGACAACGCAGGACATGACTGGCCCTTTAATAAAAGTTCACATTTATTTAGTTTTAACCGTCAGAATGAGAACGCAAGATAGCAGGGTCTCAGTTAAGCACGTAGTAGGCTTTCGCGACAAATATTATCCACGAGAGCTTTTTTTGGGTGAGATCGCGTAAATATATAAATGTGTCGTGAGACCCGCCACCACCTGACACAGCCAACTAGTAAGGTTTGTGACGTAAAAAAAAAAACGTGCCCTAGTTCCTAGTGCAGCACACCGGTGTGTTGGAGATTAAACCCACGACAATATTTACAATTCAAGTAGCGTGATGTTTCACCTGTAATTGCAACCAGCATCATCAGGCGATAGCCAGAGTTGTCACCTGATGATGCGAGTTGTAATTACTGCCAAAACATCGTACTCGAATTGCAAATGTTGTGGGTTTACTCTCCAACACACTAGCGGTGTGCTGAACTAGTAACGAATTGGCGTGTTTTGTTTACGTGACAATCCTTACTAATTGGCTGTGTCGGGTGGTGTGGTGGGTTGATATTCATATTTACGAGGTCTAACCCAAAAACAACTATTATGGACAGCATGGTCTCGCTTGCAAGAGGGAGCCGAGTCAGCCAAATGACAAAAGCAAGAGCATAGAAAGAAGTATATAACAACGCTAAGTCACTTTATTTGTGCCATAATTTGTGGCCAGATCGCTTCTGGGATAAAAAATAACTATATAGCTCAGTGGGCCTTACCTGGCAAAATAAAAAAGTGGAATAGTTTCCTCCGACACCAAGCTAAATCCGCTCCGTGTGGCAGGACCCTCTTGAGAGCGAGGCATGAGCCTCGTTGAGGTTTCTGACTTCAGAGACTTGAAAACTCATATACAGACGCATGGCCTTGCATAGAAACCCATGGACTCACACCGAGCCCCAAAAGCCTCACACGGAAGACCCCGTGGACTCAAGTGACCCAATACTCACACAGCGATCAAATAGTTTGAGGGACCCAAAGTCTCACATCGAGACACACAGAGAGTCGCACATAAACTCATAGACTCATAGCAAGACCCGTGGATTCACAGAAACCCACACTCACACAGAGACCCAGACACTCACACGGAGACTCACAGACTCACACAGAAACCCATAGTCTCACACAGAGACCCAGACACTCACACGGAGACTCACAGACTCACACGGAGACCCACAGTCTCACACAGAGACCCACAGTCTCACACAGAGACCCACAGACTCACACAGAGACCCACAGACTCACACAGAGACCCACAGTCTCACATAGAGACCCACAGACCCACACAGAGACCCACAGACTCGCACAGACTCACAGAGACCCACAGACTCACACAGAGACCCACAGACTCACACAGAGACCCACAGACTCACACAGAGACCCACAGTCTCACACAGAGACCCACAGACTCACACAGAGACCCAGAGACTCACATAGAGACCCTTACACAGAGACCCACAGACTCACACAGAGACCCAGAGACTCACACAGAGACCCACAGTCTCACACAGAGACCCACAGACTCACACAGAGACCCAGAGACTCACACAGAGACCCACAGTCTCACACAGAGACCCACAGACTCACACAGAGACCCACAGACTCACACAGAGACCCACAGACTCACACAGAGACCCACAGACTCACACAGAGACCCACAGACTCACAGAGACCCACAGACTCACACAGAGACCCACAGACTCACACAGAGACCCACAGCCTAACACAGAGACCCACAGACTCACACAGAGACCCATAGACTCGCACAGACTCACACAGAGACCCACAGACTCACACAGAGACCCACAGACTCACACAGAGACCCACAGACTCACACAGAGACCCACAGCCTCACACAGAGACCCACAGACTCACACAGAGACCCACAGACTCACACAGACCCACAGTCTCACACAGAGACCCACAGACTCACACAGAGACCCACAGTCTCACACAGAGACCCACAGACTCGCACAGAGACCCACAGACTCGCACAGACTCACACAGAGACCCACAGACTCACACAGAGACCCACAGACTCACACAGAGACCCACAGTCTCACACAGAGACCCACAGACTCACACAGAGACCCACAGACTCACACAGAGACTCACAGACTCACACAGAGACCCACAGACTCACACAGAGACCCACAGACTCACACAGAGACCCACAGACTCACACAGAGACCCACAGACTCACACAGAGACCCACAGACTCACACAGAGACCCACAGACTCACACAGAGACCCACAGTGTCACACAGAGACCCACAGACTCACACAGACACCCATAGACTCACACAGAGACCCACAGACTCACACAGAGACCCACAGACTCACACAGAGACCCACAGACTCACACAGAGACCCACAGACTCACACAGAGACCCACAGACTCACACAGAGACCCACAGACTCACACAGAGACCCACAGACTCACACAGAGACCCACAGACTCACACAGAGACCCACAGACTCCCCCCGCCAGCGACTCGCTGGGTGTGTGGAGTGCTCGGGGTACCTTGCGACTCCTGGTCACCGGTGGCCGCTGGCTCTCACGCTGGCGGCATCGCGCGGGTAGGCCGAGTCCCCCCGCTCCTGCTGCCCCTGCTCCTGCTGGGGCTACTGCCCCTGGCGACTCGCTAGGGCCCTGACGGCGCTCGGTCGCGGATTTGTGGAGTGCCCCGGCAGCCTCTCTCTCCCTCTCTGGGCCCCGACGCGCGCTTCGGATTTCCCAGCTCGGACAGGCGAGCCCGGCCGCGCGGGCATCGCTCCCATTGGTCGGCGCCGAGAGCTCCACCTCCTCGTGACCAACCCGCGTGCGAGCTTTGGGGCCGTCCATAAATGACGTCACGCGATTGTGGACGATTATTGACCCCCTCCCTCGTCACACGGCGTCACCAAAAGTCAGACCCCCCCCCTGAAATATTACGTCACAAAGCTCTGCCCCCCCCTCCCAAAAAAAAAATAATGCTTCAAATCGCTTTAAACTATTGTCATTGAAATGCGTATTTAATGTGGCGCTGCACTCTGATGTTGTAGGAGAAAATATTTATTAAAAGTCTATTTAATTAAGTAGAACGTGTTGTCTATATTTATTTAAAGCTGCGCATTGTTATGTGACGTCACATTTCTCAACCCCCCCCCCTCGTCACACATCGTCACACATCGTCACAAATGTCTGACCCCCCCCCCCCAGGTACGTGACGTCATTTATGGACTGACCCTTACACCCCCCCCCACCGCCGCGACGCTGCGCGTGTGCGCGCTGCGGAATGTAAAGCTGCCCTGTGACGTCACTGGCCCTGTGGGGGTGGGGGTGGTCGGGTGACGTCACAGCGGAATCGCTCGCCGCCATCTTTCCTAGAGGAAGCGTGCTGCCATCTTACTCAGGGGGGAGGATGGCGAAAACTTGTCCACTGAGAATTACACGGTGTTTCAAAAGAATATTAACATTTACATGGAACTATCGTTTTTAATGGAAAAATAATGGATAATACACTGTATGATAGCAGCTTCAACACATGCCTGGAATCCTTTCGGCCGAAACTGATATTGACTTTTGGTCGTCAACCAAAGATCTATTTTTAGAATATAACGCTAGTGCTACGTCTATCAGCCGGTCAGTCGGCAATCCTATACGATAGGATGCATACACACACACGCGTACACACACAACAACAACAACCGCCATTCGCCACTAAGTGGCGGTGACGTCATCACGACGCTTGTGCCAGGCTATGTGCACCCTGAGGCCACGTGAAGTGTAGAACGCCCGCTGGCAGGAGGTCACGGGGCAGACCCAGGTGCCACGGGTCGACTGACTGAGATGACTGGCTGATGCACCACCTGTGCCCCCTACTGTGCCAACCTGCTCTTTCATTGGATGAATATATGTTAATATATAGAGGTCTGCCGAGCTTAGGCAAATGTTGGTAGCTTTGGTGCTGCTGCTGCTGCTACATACCGGTCGCCTCGAGTGTTGTCTCGCGGTGCCTCTGAGTCGTCCTCGTCGAGAACGAGCGAAAAGAGAGCGGCAGTCCCTTATAAGTTGACGTTGTTGTTGTTGTACGATACAGTAATGCAGGGGTCGGGAACCTATGGCTCGCGAGCCAGATGTGGCTCTTTTGATGATTGCATATGGCTCGCAGATAAAACAAAATATTCTCACTTGTTTTAATCCATCCATCGATTTTTCACTGCGCATGTCCTGTTCAGGGCTGCAGGAGCAATTGTCCATTATTTTAATTGGATGATACTGGCCTACGTTTGCCGTTGCTGGGTAAAACAGGTAAACGCCCCCTTTTGAATCAGTCTGAGACTGCGTCTGCTCGGTCATTAGCTCAAAGCTAACCCTTCGACGAAGAAGATGGCGAAAAGAAAAAAAAGACGACGAGTATCGTACATTTCAGGACGAATGGACCGAAGAATTCGCCTTTGTGGAGAGAGCGGGTTCTGCGGTGTGTCTAATTTGCAATGACAAAATTACATCGTTGAAACGGTCGAATGTAAAGCGGCACTTCGCCACGCGCCACGCTACCTTTGCATCAAAATACCCTGCGGGAGACAGCAGAAAGAAAGCGTGCCAAGAGCTTCTGAGCAGGGTGCAAGCTAGCCAGCAGCAACTCCGCGTATGGACCCGGCAAGGTGACTATAATTCGGCTAGCTTTGCTGGTTCTTTAGCAATAGTGAGGAACGGAAAACCATTCACAGATGGCGAGTATGCTAAAACGTTCATGCTGGATGTAGCCAATGAACTTTTTGATGATCTTCCGAACAAAGACAAGATAATCAAACGGATACAAGACATGCCTCTGTCGGCAAGAACTGTTCATGATCGTACCATCGTGATGGCAAACAAAGTGGAGGAAACGCAAGTGAAGGACATAAATGCAGCGCCGTTCTTTTCTCTGGCTTTGGATGAGTCAACAGACGTGAGCCATTTGTCGCAGTTCAGCGTGATTGCAAGATATGCTGTTGGTGACACACTGCGCGAAGAAAGTCTTGCTGTTCTGCCATTAAAAGGGTCCACAAGAGGTGAGGATTTATTCAAGTCTTTCATGGAGTTTGCTCAAGAAAAAAGTCTACCTATGGATAAACTTCTCTCAGTGTGTACTGATGGTGCTCCGTGTATGGTGGGGAAAAACAAAGGATTTGTGGCGCTTCTCCGTGAACATGAAAATAGACCCATCCTAAGTTTCCATTGCATTATACACCAGGAGGCACTTTGTGCTCAGATGTGTGACAGGCAGTTTGGTGAAGTGATGTCGCTGGTCATTCGTGTGATCAACTTTATTGTTGCCCGAGCCTTAAATGATCGCCAGTTTAAAACACTGCTGGATGAAGTTGTAAATAACTATCCTGGTCTGCTTTTGCACAGCAATGTGCGTTGGTTGTCAAGAGGGAAGGTGCTTAGCCGTTTTGCGGCTTGCCTGAACGAAATCCGGACTTTCCTTGAAATGAAAGGCGTCGGGCATCCTGAGCTAGCCGACACTGAGTGGCTCCTCAAGTTTTACTATCTCGTAGATCTGACTGAACATCTGAACCAGCTCAACGTGAAAATGCAAGGCATTGGAAATACAGTGTTATCCCTTCAACAAGCTGTATTTGCTTTTGAAAACAAGCTGGAGCTTTTCATCACGGATCTTGAAACAGGTCGTTTACTACATTTTGAAAAACTGAGCCAATTTAAAGATGCATGCACAGCAAGTGAGCCCATTCAAAACCTTGATCTCCACCAGCTAGCTGGCTGCACATCCAGTCTCCTACAGTCCTTCAAAGCACGCTTTGGAGAATTTCGTGAGCACACTCGTCTTTTTAAGTTCATCACCCATCCAAACGAGTGTTCACTGAACACAGCCGACCTGAATTACATCCCTGGTGTCTCCGTCAGAGATTTTGAAGCAGAAGTGGCTGACCTGAAGGCCTCAGACATGTGGGTGAATAAGTTCAAGTCACTGAATGAAGATTTGGAAAGAATCACACGACAGAAAGCGGAGTTGGCGAGCAAGCACATGTGGACAGAAATGAAAAAACTCCAACCCGAAGACCAGCTGATTCTCAAAACTTGGAACGCGCTTCCTGTCACATACCACACACTGCAGCGTGTGAGTATTGCTGTATTGACCATGTTTGGATCTACGTATGCATGTGAGCAGTCATTCTCACATCTTAAAAACATCAAGTCCAACCTACGATCACGTTTAACGGATGAAAGCCTCAACGCTTGCATGAAGCTTAACCTCACCAAGTACCAACCCGACTACAAAGTACCAACCCGACTACAAAGACATCAGCAAATCCATGCAGCACCAGAAGTCGCATTAATGGTGAGTGTTATAACAACATTATTTAAAAGAATAAATTCAGAGGCTTATTATACTGACATTTAGTTGAATTCACTTTTAAAATATATTATATGGCTCTCACTGAAATAAATTTCCAAATTTTTTGCTTTCATGGCTCTCTTAGTCAAAAAGGTTCCCGACCCCTGCAGTAATGTAAACAGTTCTCAGAATCCGAATATTTATTTTATTGGGATAATCCGATGAGCTATAAAGCTCTCTGTCACAGCTGTGCAGTAGGGACACGGGGTAAGAACAACAAACGCACGACACAAACACGATAGGAGTGCACAGTACGGGAAAGGTAAACAAATTACCCAACACACAAACAAAAACAACACGAAACCATCATCATCCTACCACGCAAAGCCTATTATAGTATTAAGGGGCCGTCCATAAATGACGTCACGCACCTGGGGGGGGGTCAGACATTTGTGACGATGTGTGACGAGGGGGAAGGGGAGGGGGGCGAAGTGTGACGTCACATCAAAATGCGCAACTTTAAATAAATATAGACAGCACGTTCTACTTAATTAAATATACTTTTTTAATAAATGTTTTCTCCTACAACAGAGTGCAGCGCCACATTAAATACGCCGCACTACAATGACAATAGTTTAAAGCGATTTGAAGCATGTTTTATTTTTAGGGGGAGGGGGCAGAGCTTTGTGACGTCATATTTCAGGGGGGGGGTCTGACTTTTGGTGACGCCGTGTGACAAGGGGGGGGGATCAAAAATCGCGTGACGTCATTTAGAAACGACCTGGCCACAAATGATCGCACAATAAAGTGGCTTATCATTTCGGATATTTTTTTTTTGCAGCATAATCTAAATAGCCTAAACGCACGTTTCTAAATGTGCCCTGTGACTACACTTGGCTTTCACCTGGCCCTGTAAGTTTAAGCCTGCCGTGAATTATCGCGGCAGTGAAATGTAACGTGGTCGATGTTTGTTACAGCCGGCGTGGTGTCGGCCAATTGACTTTATTTTGCCGAATCTCGAACTGTGTTCACAACAACACTCACTCATCCGGTCACTCACAGCGCTTACCCACTCACCCACCACCACTCATCCACTCACCTTACCACTTCCTCACTCAAACACCCCTGCAGGTCGTAACGCTCGCATTCGCTCACGAATTTAGCCATGACTCTGACCGACATCAGCATGCACTCAGCCGCTCACACACCCACTCCCCTGTACACACGCAACTACTCACCCACGTATTCACTCATCGAACGCACCTTTATACCCGCTCAACCACCACACTGCAGGTCACACCCACACATTCACTCACACACGGAGATCTTGAAAGTTACAATGGGGCCGTCCATAAATGACGTCACGCGATTTTGGACGGTTTTTGACCCCCCCCCTCCCCCCGTCGCTCGTCACACGACGTCACCAAAAGTCAGACCTCCCCTCAAAATGACGTCACAAAGCTCTGCCCCCCCCCCCAAAACCATATTTCTATTTTGAAAATAAAACATGCTTCAAATCGCTTTAAACTATTATCATTGTAGTGCGTATTTA